CTTATTAAAAAATCCTTTTATATATACATACATACATATATATATATATATATATATATATATATATATATATATATATATATATATATATATATATATATTTCAATAATCATTTTCTTTCTCTTTTGCCGTGTTAAAACGGGCCCTCGTTATCTTATCAGCGGAAAATGTTGTTTTTTTTCTTCCTTTTTGAACATTATGCATCCAAAGGTTTAAGTGACAAAGGGTGAGAAATAGTTGTCTGATCTTTTAAGTGGAAAAATGCGTCCTAGGGGCGAACGAAAAGTTGCATTTCCGACGTACAAACGGATCAAAGAACATCCGGTAACATTATAAGACCTTAAGGGAGAATTTTTGACGCATCGGACAAAGGAGGCGGGGATACATTGCTGCTGAGGTGGTGATAACCTTCATTTGAATTATTATTGTTTTGTTTTAGAAATTTGGAAGTGATTTGTGTTTAATTCTTGCAGCCATTTCAGTTCAAAATCTGTACACAACAACTTAGAAAGCAAGCAAGAAAGAAAACCTTTTTTTAGCATTGATCTATTACTATATGTTTTTAAAAATGCTATGGCCTTGCAGGACAGTAATGATCATGTGTCTCCACAGCTTCCTTTAATATGTATGAATAACCGTGGCATATTGGGAAAGATTGTGGAATTGTTTCTCGTTCTCATTTCTATGGTTTCTAGTTAAGAATAGACTTTTTAGACTGGCTGTCAGCCAGGGTAAAAGAATACAGTCTACTCAGGGACGTAACTCATAAATGGTGGAAGAAAAATGAATTTTCCCAAAGTGAATGTAACAGATATTGTCGGAATTTGAAATTCCTACGTTGACTCCATTTTCCTTGATCATAACCGTTACAGTGACCGCACTCATTTAATCGATTTTACCAGGTTTTAAAAGAAGCAATACTATTTTATTAGTAGTATTAATCCAAGTTAGTGTTGCTTCCAGGTCAAGCATTTTACGTGTTATTATTATTAATAATGATATGATATTATTATTATTATTATTATTATTATTATTATTATTATTATTATTATTATTATTATTATTATTTCCTTTGATTTCTGGCGTTTACACATTTCTTTCCGTGTCCTGCCCAGGGACCTAAGGTTAGAAATGGCATCATGACACTTTCTACTGACAAAAGAAAAAAAATACATAGATAAAGCCCTTCGTAAAGTGTTGGCTGTACTTGTGAGAACATTTTTTTGTATTTCTTTGAGGCATGGACTTCCAGGAATCCCTTCAATTAGTCTACTGCAATCTTTTCCAACCAGTCCTAGGGCTCCAACTACAACAGGGATTGTTGATGTTCCCATGTGCCACATTTTTTGAGATTTCTATTTCAAGGTCCTTGTATTTTGACAACTTTTTGAATATCTTCAAAGATACATTGCAGTCAGCAGGGACTGCTATATCAATAAGGAGGTACATTTTTTGTTTGTGGTCTTTAATAGCAATGTCTGGGCGGTTGGCTTTGATTGTTCTGTCAGTGTGTATTGTGTAGTCCCATAGAATTGTAACAGGTCCTATCTCCGTAACCGGATCTGGGTGGTGTTCATACCACTTTCTTTCAGTTTCCTTCCCGTAGAAGTTGCAGATTTTCCAGTGCAGATATTGGCCCACTCTGTCATGCCGGGTTTTATATTCAGTGGGTGCCAGTATTGTGCAACCTATTATTATTATTATTATTATTTCATTTCCTTTGATTTTTGGTGTATACTCATTTCTTTCCGGGTCCCGGCCAGAGACTTAAGGTCAGAAATGGCATCATGACAAAAAAAACGGATACATATTTGATATAGATAAAACTCTTCGTTAGGTGTGTACTGTACTCGTGAGAACAATTTTTGCATTTCGGCTTAAAACAACTTTTCAGTATGTATGCTTGGTAATTTCTAGTTAGCAAGCATTGGTCCTGTATAACAAGAATAAAAAAAAAAACTTCAGTTTCAGGTTTTAACCCGGCACTACCTAACAACTGATGGGTACGGGCTTTGTCTACATCTTGCCTTGTTACGGGCAGAGTATTGACCATGAAGGGGCTTATCTTGCCATCGTTTATTATTATTATTATTATTATTATTATTATTATTTCTTTGATTTCTGGTGTGTACTCATTTCTTTCCGGGTCCCTACCAGAGACCTAAAGCAAAAAATGGCATCATGACATCTTCCACTGAGTAATTAAAAAAAAATATATAGAAAAAATCCCTTCGTAAGTTGTGGGCTATAATCGCAAGAACATTTTTTTGTATTTCTTTAAGGCATGACCTTCCAGGGATTCCTTCAATGAGTCTATTCTTTCCAAGAAATCCGAGGGCTCCAACTACTACTGGAATTGTTAATGTTCTCATGCGCCACATTTTGAGATTTTGATTTCAAGACCTTTATATTTTGGTAGCTTTTTGAGGATCTCCAGTGGCAGCCATATGAATAAGGTGGCAATTTGTTTTTGTTTGCGGTCTCTAATAACAATGTCTGGGTGATTTGACTGTTCTGCCAGTGTGCATTGTGTAGTCCCATAAAATTGTAACAGGTCCTATCTCCATAACCGGGTCTAGTTGGTGTTCATACCTGTTTCTTTCAGTTTCCTTACCGTAGAAGTTGCAGATCTTTCAGTGCAGATATTGGCCCAGGTTTTATTATTATTATTATTATTATTATTATTATTATTATTATTATTATCTTTTTATCATCGTTAATTTTCATTAAAAATCTTCAGTATTATAATTTTTTTTGCTTCTTTAATATTTTATGTTGAGAAAATATTTGAACACCCAAAATAAATTAATGTATTTTCCGAGGAAAACTTTTCTTGAATTTCCAAGTATTGTTTTTTACAGACGAAGATACTTAGACTACTGTGACAAGCACGCACGTGCACACTCGCAAAAAATACTTACATACATACATACACACACACACACACACACACACACACACACATATATATATATATATATATATATATATATATATATATATATATATATATATATATTATAAATATGTTACAGCCATCTTTTTTTTCTTCAGATGTCGAGATGCGTTCACATCGAAACAAAAATGCATCTTTGTCGTGAGTAATTGTTTAATCCATATTTAACATCTTTATAATAAATAACAATTGCTCTACTCCTGGTATTGATCCATCTTTTAAATTATTGCTATAACCTTTTGAATTTATATTATTTTTGTTCTCATTACATTTTATATATATATATATATATATATATATATATATATATATATAGAATTGGTGTATACGGAATAAATTACAATAACCAAAAAATACTATTCTTAAAAGAGTGCTCAATACAGAGTAGAGCAAATATAATTATTTATTCAGAAATTGTAACATAAATATGTTATAAAATTCCTACAAAAATAGCCATTTTGTTTCAACACTTCTAGTGTCTTATCAAGTGATGCTGTTGAAGTAAAACCCAGAAGTTTTTAAAGAAAATGGCTATTTTTGCAGTGATTTTATAACATATTTATGCTATAATTTTCGAATATATATATATATATGTTTCACTTTTATTAAAGTTTCATCGGAGAATGAGGTATGAAGAAAAAGGAGAAATAAATTCTGGAATTTGCTTTTGTAGTTTTTGATTTTCATTGGTTAATCATGTTGCTCGTACATTCGACATTTTTAAAAAATAAAAAACGTTAGTATAACTAATGGCGTTCCGAATTCAAGGAGAGACGACGCGTCCATGTATAGTTTAAAGAAATTAACGGATTCCAACCTACTTGAAAAACCCTAAATAAAACTCTATGTATTTAAATAATTCTAGTTTGTCTATGTGGGATTTAGATAATAATTTATATTCGTAAGTGTGTGTCTAGTAAACATTGTTCCTTGGCTAGCTAGTTGCATATTGATTTGGGAACATTTTTACGTATATATAATTTGTTCTAGATAAGCACACACACACACGCATACAGACACACACACACACATATATATATATATTACATGAATCATTCATGCAAAAAGCAGATTAGTAAAGTTAATGATATAAATGGCAAAATCCTTTCGCAAACAAAGTTTTAAAATTGCATTAACGTACGAATCTCTCGATGAATATTATGATCCTTGTTTTTAATAACAAGTTGTATAAGGTCTTTGTTTTAATACGAAAGTACTTTCGGCTGTACATTCTGATTAAAGAGATCTATCAATTTCTCTCTCTATATATATATGTGTGTGTGTATGTGTATGTGTGTGTCTGTATCTATCTATCTATCTATCTATCTATCTCGGTTTGTTCATATCTATCTATCTATCTATCTATCTATCTATCTATCTATCTATCTATCTATCTATCTCAGTCTAAATATATCTCTCTATCTCTCTATCTATCTATCTATCTATCTCAGTTTGACCATATCTATCGATCTATATCAGTCTGACCATATCTATCTATCTATCTATCTCAGTCTGATCATATCTATCTATCTATCTATCTATCTATCTATCTATATATATATATATATATATATATATATATATATATATATCAGCCATTGAATATATGACTATCCTATGAAAACCGAAATATGTAAATGAGAAAATCAAGACTGGCATCTATATGTTTTATCTCATTCCTAGCAATGTATCTCAACACAAACAGATGTGTGATTATTTGAAAATATCTTCTTCTTCTTCGTCTTCTTCTTCCCGTTCTTCTTCTTCTTCCTCTTCTCTTTCTTCTTCTTCTTTTTATGGTAAGAAGCATTCAAAGATAGAAAACGAGGCACATTTACAGATCCGAATCTCTATGCAATATAATGAACAAAAGATGGAAGGAAGAAAAGAGTTAACTCGTGGAAGGACACAACGAATGACGAAAGAAATAGAATCAATCATAAAAATAGTTCGTAATGAATCGAAACGGTCTTGCATAAATACTGGCATCATCGTTAGTGATCGGTTCTAACTTTAGCAACTTTTCGACAAATGGACACGGATATCATGGCAGAAAACATGCACGCCTTCTGGCGCTCTCATTTGAGAAAGTTGGCAAGGCATGGCAATTATCGACCGGTGAAAGAGATTCAAAATGGTTTCCTGCTGATTCTGTATGCAGATGAACGACAGTCAAGGAGATAAATATGAATAGAGTGGCATAGATAGATACGAACAGAGATAGATAGATAGATAGATAGATAGATAGATAGATAGATAGATATGAACAAACTGAGAGATATATATATATATATATATATATATATATATATATATATATAGATAGATAGATAGATAGATAGATAGATATGAACAGACTGAGATAGATAGATAGATATATATATATAGCGAAACAGAAAGAGAGAGAGAAATTTGAACAGCTTGAGATAGACAGGTTGATCGATAGATAGATATAAATAGCCTTAGATAGATAAATATAGAGACAGACACAAATAGCCTGAGATAGATAGATATACATCTATTGAGCTAGATAAAAAATAACCTGAGATAGATAGATAGATAGATAGATAGATAGATAGATAGATAGATAGATAGATAATGATGAGCCTGGGATAAATAGATAAATAGATAGACATACATAGCTTGAAATAGATAGATAGATAGATAGACAGATAGATAGACAGATAGATATATAGATAGATAGATAGATAGAGAGAGAGAGAGAGAGAGAGAGAGAGAGAGAGAGAGAAACGAGAGAGGACCCCTGAAATTGTCGAAATAGATAATAGGAATACATTTAATCTTGTAGGATTAGTAGTGATATATATATATATATATATATATATATATATATATATATATATATATATAGTGAGAGAGAGAGAGAGAGAGAGAGAGAGAGAGGGAATATATATTATAATCGTTTCGTCCTCTGATTGGCTTTATCAATGCAAACAATCATTATACGTAGAAGTAAAAATCTCTTTACATCTTCAGAATTTCAAAAAGGCCGTTCAGAAATATACTTCCTTCATATTGTCTTTGTACGGGTATATCTTTTTAATTATATCTGAACTTTTACACACACACACACACACACTCATATACACACAGACACAAACACACACACATATATATATATATAAATTGTGTATTTAAACAGCAAATTCTCTTTTAAGCGTGTCTGATTAAACAAATTACAGGCATTTCTTGTCTGCTAATTTTTAACAAAATCCGTTCATACTCACGAATAACCTTCCGTGTATTGATGTTAAAGAATGAGAGAAATGTGCTACAGCTGTTTAAATTTCTTTTATTTTCATTTCCTAAGTACTTTCGATCTTCTTCCAAGATCATCTTCAGGAGTGCAAGTGATACAAAACTATATATTGTTCATTAGTATTTATATAAAGGTTTGCGTTGTTATCCATTGCCGTACTTTTTGCATTATGCTTTTAAATTCAAAACGGTTGACAATGTGCTGAGCGTTCATTAGAACGTGAAAAAGTTATCCATTATGGAATTTTTTCTTCTATGTTATAATGTCATGGTCATGCGCGCATTAAAGCGTGAAAAAGCTGTTCCTTTACAGGCATTTCTGAAAATTACTGCAGTATTCATAGTTGATTCTGTTCAGTGTCGGCTTTAACGTTTTCATATAAATTGCTTCTAGTATCTGTAATCTGAATTTGTTGTTTTCATGGTGTAGGATAATTGTGTTTTCGATTAGTATTTTTTTATATTGAGAATGTAGACAGAAATGTTGTAGATGTGGAGTGTAAGCCTTCTTTTTTGTGTTTTTGTCGTATACCGAACATATATATTTGTTTTTTGTCGGAAATACATTATCCCAAGGGACATTTAAATTGGTATATAACGTTGCTTTTACGTAATACATCAGTTGGTGGAGAAGTGTTATTGTGAATAATTAAATTGGTTGTATTGTATTTTTTATAATATATGATTAATTTTATTTTTTAACTAGACTCCTTTGAAAGATATGTTAGTATAAATGAGTTTCTTTATGATTTTTTTATCCTGTTTGTCGTTAGCGTGCTAGCAAAACAATACAAGGTTACAATATAGTAGTTTGATATGCTTAGTGTCATAATGTCTGTAATTTATTTAATCAGACATATATATATATAAACGATATGATCTAAACTTATAATCCAGAAGATGAAAAAGACAGTAAAATATATATATATATATATATATATATATATATATATATATATATATATATATATATATATATAGGCACTGATATATATATATATATATATATATATATATATATATATATATATTTAAAGGGAAAAACAGACCATTTTTAAGATACCATTATAATAAAGTGGTCTGTTTTTCTTTTAAATATTAGCTCTGGATTTACATTGAGCTCTCAGGATTTCATCTTCCTTGGGATTACCCATACGGATTACCAAGTTCTTCACAACTTAATTATATATATATATATATATATATATATATATATATATATATATAATATTTTTATTACTTCTAACATGATATTTTTGTGGTTACCCTTGTTTGAAATAGACGACCAGTTTTTAAACTGTGTTTATTACACCTACCGTCCTGGGAACACGATCTATTTACCTCTTTTAGAAATGCACATCTCCTCGTGCAAATTACTCAAATTATCGAAATATTTTGTATTTTCCAACGCTTTCGGCTGTTCGTTTATCCATTATAAAGGTTGTTTTTATTTTAACTTTTAACTAAATGTATTATTATTTGTATGGAATTTTTTTTATTTATGAAAAGCAAAAAAGTGTAATGAAAAAAACTAAAATTAAATAAAACTTTTCCACGAAACTTCTATAAAATAGTGTTTGCTGCCAAAATATACAATATATATATATATATATATATATATATATATATATATATATATATATATATATATATGTATATAAACCCAGATTTGGAAGGGAAGAAAAAGAAGGAAGAAAAACATGGGAAAAAAAGATGAAGAATAGAAAGAAACGGAAGGTGGCAAAAGAAACAGGAAGTGGTGTAAGTCGAGATATGAGTGGCGGTTAGAGGGGCAAGGAGTAGAGAAAGGGAAGGAAAGGAAAGAAAGAGATGACCTATTTAATATACCCAGTGGAAATAGACAGTAGATAGATTAAATGAAGCTTCGGAAATAAATGAAAAATATATACATATATATATCGGGCAATAAGATTTTCTTGCCCGTCGTTTTTCACAAAACTTCTGGGCAGAGAAAGATAGAAAGAATGAGAGATTCAAAATTTAATAAAATCGATTGACAGAAAGCCAGAAATATTAAGATAAAACTATGAAAAAAACTGAAGCAGATTTGAAAATAATGATGTTAGATTACCAGTACAATAGGTTTAATAATTATATTAATTCCATAAACGTTATTTCTAGGGGATACTCATATTTGAATAGAAACTCTGTTTATTTTATAAACAGTATATTTATATTCGAGAAATCCTAATAAAAGAATAATATCCAGACTTGTAGAGGAAAAGCCTACTGTTTAATAAATAAAAGGAGCGTCTACTCAAATTTTATCTATCGATCGATCTCTCTCTATATAGTCATTCACAGACAGACTGTTTCGCAGTATTACAGCTCCTCAGTGTGGCTAGACGTCCGATTGCTTCTAGCCGGGAGTAGAAAAACGAGTGATATAACATCAGTCTGATATCCTACCCTTAGGTCATCGCCGCACGGTAGAAAAGAAGGGCATTTTAACCATTTTCTCTGTACGAAATATACCAGCGGCTCGGAGAACTCAGTTCATACTAGAAGGTTAATGCATAAGAGCAGTAGAAACCGCTGTTTTTAAAACCCCCTTTCCCTAAACCGGATTTCCGTGAGAATATATAGTCATCAACAGAGAGAATGTTTCGCCGTATCACAGCTCCTCAGTGTGGCTAGATGTCTGATTGCTTCTAGCCGGGAGTTGAGACCCGACTGATATGATACAGATATCTTACCCCTAGGCCATCGTCGCACAGCAGAAAAGAAGGGAATTTTAACCATTTTCTCTATACGAAATACAGCAGCTACTCGGAGAACTCAGTTCATACTTGAAGATTAATGCTTAATAACAGGGGCCGCTATTTTTAAAAAACCTTTTCCCTTAGAGAGCTCAACCGGATTTCCGTGAGAATATACAGGCATCCACAGAGAGAATCTTTCGCTGTATCACAGCTCCTAAGTGTGGCTCGATATCCGACTGCTTCAAGCCGGGAGTCAAAACCCGACTGATATGATACTGATATCTTACCCCTAGGCCATCGTATTGTCGCACGGCAGATAAGAAGGGAATTTTAACCATTTTCTCTATATTAAAATACAGCAGCGACTCGGAGAATTCAGTTCATATTTCAAGATTAATGCTTAATAACAGTAGGGGTCGTTCTTTTTAAAAAAAACCCTTTCCCTAGAGAGCTCAACCAGATTTCCGGGAGAATATATAGTTATCCACAGACAATGTTTCGCTTTATCATAGCTCCTCAGTGTGGCTAGATGTCCGATTGCTTCAAGCCGTGAGTCAAAATATAACTTAAACTTTATTTTTAGTATTTGAGTAGACGTTCCGTTTCTTTATTAAAGAGTAATTTTTTTCGTCTTCCGGCCTGCATATTCGAGATTAAATTTACTGTGTATTAAATAAACGGAACGAGTATTTAAGAAATAAAAATCTGTTGCATTAATAAATAAAAAAATCCAGCACTTCTTTAGAAACTGATTCATTCCATAAATAGAAAGGCATAAGCAGGTCGATGACAGTAGATAGTAACATCAACGGAGAGAGTTTACAGATAGAAAACCATAGATGGAAAAATAGTTATGGCTCAAGATAGACAACACACAAGAAGAGAACTATACAGGCTGGGAGAAATAGGTAATTCGATAAATAACCCCAAAACAGACTGATTATGTAATGTAACGACCTTTCAGGCCGGCAGCATTCTTCTTCTTTATGTGCTGGGTCCCTTCAGGAAGTAGGCTAATAAGGCTCTCCACAACTTCCTGTCCCTAGAAGCTCTTAATAAACTTTGTCTTTCTGTTATTTGTAAGAAGCCCTGTTCTGCCATCCATCGCTAAGTTTGTTATGAGTTATTTCCTCTGTTTCTCTTGCCCTCTATCTGACACGTGAGTACCAGATTTTCCAAGCCGACCTGCCTTATTATTTACCACAGAAATCTCAACTGTCTCTTCTTGATGTCAATTATTAGTTTCCTTTTTGTTGCCATTTTCTCCAAAACTTCGTCGTTACTCACCTCGTCGTTCGGTCCACGGTATCCTCAGCATCCTTCTGTAGAAACGTTTTTTTGTTGATTCAAGTTTCCTCTTCATCTTTGATAGGATCGTCCAGCACTGGATGCGATACAGGAAGACAGACATCTCATAGCATTTTGGCACTCTTTCCCTTGTTTCTATCGAAATTTTTCCATTTCTCAGTACTCTGCTTAGCTTTTGGAAGGCATCTTTTGTTAGACATTTTCATGACGGTCGATCCTCGAGTATCGCCTCCAGAGGTTGGCAGTGAATATTTCGGAGACAGTAGGAAAACGTAGTGAAGGTTCGCAGTGGATATCACAGCAGAGTATAGTTCATCCTTCTCCTGGTCGCCTTTGGTCCTTCTGGTAGACGAAACAAGATGGCCGCCTTTATACACGACGAATACAGTGTTAGGCGGCTTCTGATTGGTCAACCTTCCATTGGTCGATTATAAAGGGAAATAAGTCATTCTGA